TCATGACTCTCCACAACTTCTTATCCTGGCAATTTTTATTTATTTAATTTTTTGTAATATTTTTTAGAATCCTTCCCATTGACTCTTCTAAGAATTAGGGATCTTTAATGTTTACCTATCTTTCTACCTTTTTTGAGATAAGATGAATAATAACGTTATGTATACATATATACATACACACACACACACACACACAAATAAGCAAATATATGGATATAAATCCGACAGTATGAAGAAAAATATATACGGAAAAACAAACAAAAATCCTTATATACAATTAAAACAGTATAAATTGTATATAAGGATTTTTGTTTGTTTTTTCCGTATATATTTTCTTCATATATATATATATATATATATATATATAGAGAGAGAGAGAGAGAGAGAGAGAGAGATAGATAGATAGATAGATAGATAGATAGATAGATAGATAGATAGATATTAAGGTTCTTATCTACTACCTTCACGCAATATGTGATATATCAGCACAATCATCAGGTAATCAGATGCAGATCAGTTCCCAGGAAACCGACAGCCCGACAACAGCACATGAGATTTGATTATAGTGGTGAAGGTTTCGTGCAGGAACATCCACACTTTTTGAAGGGCCAAATACAGAGACCTGATGCACTACGTGCCACAAGGGCCCCAAACGACCCTCCGCAGGTTTTGAATTCAAAGTTGTCCTTCTCCTAGACCAGTTGCCATCCAACTATATATATATATATATATGATGGATAATTCCGTAATTTATCGACGTATGAGTGTCAGCAACTCAGCTCTTAGGAATTAGACAGCCAGACACCAGCACATATGATTTGATTACAGTGGTGAAGGCTTTGTGCATAACCAACCAGACTTTTTGCAAAGCCTAATAATCTTGTGCAGGTTTTGAATTCAGAGCTGTTCTTCTCCTAGACCATTTGCAATCCAAGGCTATAGAATCCTGTCTGTCCTGCTATTCAACCATAGCTGGTGATGGAAGCGACGAAGAGGATTCAACCTTTTCCCAAGGATATTAACACGTAAATATAATAAACTTGACTGGAATTCGAACTCGACTTTCCAATTCCTGAATAGGAGCCGCTGTCTATTACTCTACCGTGCCTCCTCTCTCTTTTTTCTCTATATATATATATATATATATATATATATATATATATATATATATATATATTTGGTTGGATTGATGTGAGTTTGTGACCCTGGGTTTCACGCTTTTGCGATCGTCAGACAAACCCTTGCTCAATCACTGATATTGAGCGCTTTCTAATAATTACCACGCATATAATATATAAATAATTATACATATATATATATATATATATATATATTTATATACACACACTTTTCATATATATATACATGTATATATATATATATATATATATATATATATATATATATATATTCATACACGTTTCATTAAATAATATAGACAAGTGTTGTCTATTTATTTTATGTAAATTTTTTTATAACGTCTGATAAGTTTACTAACATTATCGTTGAACGAAGAAAGAAATTCACAATATTGATCCATATTTTTTTAATATAATCTAAGTTTCAGCTTACTTAAGCCATTATCAAAGAACTGTCCGAATGTTTTGTATTTCCGAGCGCTTTCGGCTATAACTTTAGCACCCTACTAAGCTGATAATCGAATCATCCTTGATAATGGCTAAAGGTATAGCCAAAAGCGCTCGGGAATTCGGACAGTTCTTACACACCCTTTGTCCAGAAAAGAAAGCTCTTGTCAGAACACAAGAAAAATTAAATAAAAAGCTTAACCGTAGTACCTTGTCTGTCGTTATTTATATTTATATACACTTTTCACACACACACACACACACACACACACATATATATATATATATATATATATATATATATATATATATATATATATATATATATATATATATATATATATATATATATATTTGCACAAATAGTGATGGTGTAAATAAAACAAGGCTCGATGTAAAATAACGGAATAATTAAGTATATATATGTTAATCTTCAGCACCCGAAGACTGTGTCATGGAGTTAACGGTTACAATTAACTCTGCTTTCCGACCTCTGCTTTCGGTCAGAGAAGAACCCAGACGAGTCTATGCCCCAGGGCAGAGTCTCATCTGCGGAGGTAGACAGCAATCTGATCTCGTGTATACGGGGTTTACGAGCAATTTTTGCCTTAGGCTACCGGATCGGAACATCCCACGTAAAAAAAAAAGCCGGCCTTGTGCCACATCCCGCCTTGTGGGGAGGCTTCTGGTAAATACCGAAGATCGCGTAAGGCATAAAACTCAGAGTCATGATAAAACTCAGCATCTCGATATACCCACTGAAGAGTGAACGTACAGGTTCGTCTACGAAACTCTGGAGTCAGGATGATGAAGGTAGCATCAATCAGCTAAGTGACAAATTCGGCTCACATAAATCATATATATATATATATATATATATATATATATATATATATATATATATATATATATATATATATTAATATTGAAGTCAACCCCTGAGTGTTGACTTCAATGTTCACTTTTATATTTATATTTACATACGCTCTATCTCTGATATTGAGCACTTTATCCTATAAATATAGCACACCTTAAAACTATATTTCTAACTGTTTTTGTTCTTGTTTAATATATATATATATATATATATATATATATATATATTAATGAAGAACAAAAACAGTTGATGGAACCAATGGAAAACTTGACAAACCTAAAACTTAACTAGATAAGTGCCTCGAATAAAAACGACAATAGTGAAAAAGGAAAGAAAAAAGCCCAAAGGAAATCTTAAACACTCAGTAAAGTGCTCGAAGCCTAGAATGCATAGACCGAGGAAAAAACGATTAACAATGTGTGGGGGGAATCTGTGCGTGTGTCTGTGTGTTTGTGTGTGCGCACATGTGTGTGTGTTGGGGAGGGTAGATACTGTGGTCCGGAACTTAGAAAAACATATGGTTTTATATAATTTTGGTGTTATCTACTAAATATCATAGCTTTGTCAAGAGTATTTGCGCGTATATGAATGTTACGAACTCGAAGAGAAGTCGAACCCGACTCTCTGAGTTCTCCTTCTGAGCCACTATCCCGTACGTATTTCGTTTCAGGCAACTTTTATCACATAAAATATGTGGATGTGTTGTGGTGTGGGGTGAAATATAAACAGTCACGTTGACAACGATGTGCTTTTTATCTCTAACTTTTCTTTCTTTGATGTCTAGTTTATTAAGCGGCTTCCACGGTGACTGAAGGTGGATCGGAAGTAAAGTAGTTAATGCATTTTTAAAGATCAAGTGGCAACGAAACCGGAAAAACGGTATATCCGGGTGATGGTCTATATAAACTTTTATGATTGATGTTAGTTCTTAACAGGATACAGTCGCGTGGTTGCTGTGACGTACATTCGACTCGTCAGTCACCACGATTAGTAGAAAGGCGAAGCGTTGTTTGGGGAGGAGGTACTATGCTTTTATACCAACATAGCAGAAGTTGTCCCGAGTATCAGCTACCTATCCACCCAGTCGAGAAAGTGAAGCCCTGAATAAAACATCCGTTCTATGATATGGAAACGCGTTTCGTGTCCTCATTTCTTGACGTGGCGTTTGTCTTCTTTCATCGTGCTGTCTTTTCCGTCCGTTCCCAACTTTTGGAGCTAGAATCGACGTGGTGGAGTCGTTAGTCACAACAATTCAAAAGTTTGAAGAAACTCCCAGAATCAACATAGGATAAACTTGAGAGAAGAGTGAAAAAAGAATTTTAAATGAGCCCTTAAAATCATCGAAAAAAAGGAATCAATTATCAAAATTATACTTTGAAAAACTTTTGCAATGAATGCCAAAAAATTGGGCTGCAATAATCAAGACTAAAGGAGGATATTTCGACGAGAGCAAAATTTAATCATAATTTTTTTTCTTTTTGTCATAACACAATTTCTAATAAAACAGGGGTCACTATTTTTTAACCATGTATTATAATTTTCTCTTATTTAAAGTACAAAACACTTTTTAAATAATTAAAAAGTTATCAAGTGTGACCTCAAACTTCTGATCTCTAGTATATATATATATATATATATATATATATATATATTGTCTCTCACCCACTAAATGTAATAGTAATACTTACTGTTATATTACTGTTGTTCATATCAGAGCCATTTCCCTGTTTGAAAGAAAAAAATAAAAGGTTTTCAGTACATCGAACCATGTGAATAGAATATTATAATATATTATTTTATCTCTATATATTTCTGAGATGATGTAACTATTTACACTATTTACGTCGTTCGGACTGTTGTCATCAACTTTATTGCCATATTCATGACGTTTCGGCCTTCTTCAGAATCATTCTATATTCTGAGATGAGGTATTCTAATTATTTACAATATTTACATCGCTCGGAATGTTGTCCTCGTCTTTATTGCTATATTCATGACGTTTCGGCCGTTGTACGCCCCGCTCTTCTTCAGAATCAGTCTATATTTCTGAAATGAGGTATTGTAACTATTTACAATATTTACATCGCTCATATCAAGGCTACAATAAAATTATCACTAAGACTAATATATGAAATACTGAGTAGATTCGAAATAACTGACTCACCCTGAAGAGTCCATTCTTCCAGTGGTAGTACCTCATGTAATCGTGCATGATTTCATAGAAGCAGTCATTATTTACAAAGCACTCGACACACGTCTTAGCTAATGTCTTTTAGTCTTAATGATCATTTTACTATAGTCTCTTTGCTTATCCATTTCTATAGATAGTGTAATGAAAGATGTCGGTATGAAATATTGAGTAGATTTATAATAAATGACTTCCTGAAGACTCTAGTAGTATTCCATAAATAATACAATCTATGTAGAGATGGGTAGATATACATGAATAATCTTGATTGGATAGATAGGTAAGAATTAACTAACATTAGATAGATACATATAAGTAAACAAAAGTAGATAGATTGGTATGTTTAAACTAAGATAGATAGATAGATAGATAGATAGATAGATAGATAGATAGATAGATAGATAGATAGACAGATAAATAAACAGTCCAACTGAGATAGATAGATAGATAGATAGATAGATAGATAGATAGATAGATAGATATAAACAGCCTGACATTGGTAGATATTTAGATAGATAAATATATAGATATGAACAAAATGAGAGAGCAAAATACATATGAATGGAGAATGAGATTGCAAGATGGATATAAAAAGAATTAGTTAGATAGATAGATAGATAGATAGATAGATAGATAGATATGAACAAACTGAGATAGAATTGAAAAAATTGGTGCAATAACTTGATATGCACAGACTGAGATAGATAGATAGATAGATAGATAGATAGATAGATAGATAGATAGATAGATAGATAGACTTACCCAGAAGCGACCATTCTTGGCATGGAAATACCTCATGTAATCGTGCATGATTTCATAGAGACAGTCACAGATATAATCCACCCTGAACATGTCCATATTGTTTTTACCATAGAAACCTAAAATATAAAAACATTATCAACTTTTCAAAAGAAAACATTATAAAACTTCATATAAAATTTGAAGCACACAAATGTTTCAATATTATATAAACATTGCAATCATCGGCTCGATGCAAACCTTAGCCCTTGGCCAAGATTTAACCTCGCCCTGTCCAACGGTGTATAAAAGTACTTGGTCTAAACTATAGCCCCGATGTCAACTTATGCTTTATTCTTGCCAAATGAAAATATTATTTGGCTTTACATAACGTGCAACAGGTTGATAAAGCGTAGAACACGAGTTATACCAGGGATCGGCAACATACGGTACACGTGGCAAACCAATACAAACCCGAACCAATAGCTACTAAAACGCAATGAAGATATTTAACCGTTTCAATTTTAATACATACTAAATTATATATACTATATATTACTATGTAAAATCTATTGTAGAACAGGTATATTGATTTGACTTGTATAAAAATACGTATTCTGTTTGCACACTGAATGATTTTAAAACCTAAGTTGGTACATAGCAAAAGGTTGCCGACCCCTTGACTAGATGGATTGTGTGAAAATGAAGGGCTTTTTGGTGATATTTAGATAATTCACTCTTATCCGACGTATTTAACTCAGTATTATGGTATTATATTCACTTTTATCTATATTTTTTTATTAATTATAATCTGTCAAATTATGTAACAAATGTTAATCGTTGAGTTGCCTTTTTTCCTAATCTTTTACAATTTTTTTACAGTCTTTACATATTTATTTATTTAGCTTATGACCCTCACACTCCTTGTTTTAACAACACCTAACGCCATCTTTTAAAATTTTAATATATACTAAAGTATATATATATCTATATATTACTATATGAAATCTAATGTAGAACAGATATATTGAACTTGACTTGTATAAAAAAAAAATACGTATTCTGTTGGCAGATTGAATGATTTTAAAACCTTGAGTCGGCACATAGTCAGCAAAAGGTTGTGTATTATGTATTTAAGGATATTTCAGTTACCTTCCCGAAAGGTGCCGAAAGGTGCCTTGCCCTTTTAACGTTTGATAACAATCTAATGATAGTCTGTTTTTGAGATATGATAAATTATCATTTTGTTTCTTCTATATACAGTGTCCCTTAAGGAAGAAGTGGGCGGTCATGGCTTTTTAAAACGTCGTATCATTTGTAACTCAAAGCAAGGATTTTATTTTTTTTACTAACCCCACACTCCTTGTTTTACCAACTCTTAACGCCATCTTGTTTCGATTTTAATATAAATTAAATTATATATACTATATATTACTAGGATGGCCGAGGTGTCGTTTTCGACATCTTCAAATTTTCAACAATTTACTATGGAATAACTAGTTTTGGTTCGATGCTGAGGCTTATGGACAATTATTGAAGTTTAGCAAATATGCTTAACAGACTTAATTCTTTAAAAAATATTCAGTGGAATAGCTGATATTTGAGGCTTTATCTTGAATGGTCGAGGTGTCGTTTTTGACACCTAGGCTATTTATAGGGTAAATGCATTGAAAAATTTCTCACAAGCTATAATACTTGTGTTTATGTCCCATATCTATCTATTTATCTATTTATCTATCTATCTATACACACACACACACACATTTTCATGTAAGATTTTTTTTTCCATTGTCATTTGATACCAATCTGTCTTGTCCACAGAATTCATCTGGGAATTTAACTATACATATATATATATATATATATATATATATATATATATATATATATATATATATATATATATATATATATATATATATATATATTTAAAAAAATTTAAAAGAAAAACAGACCACTTTTAAGGTACCATTACAATAATTTATTTCACCAAAGTTGGCAGATAGCAAAAGGTTGCCATCACCTGAGCTATAAAACCACGTCGTTTAGCTTTATTTACAGCCTCTGGCATATAAAACGACAGCAATCAGACCGTTATTTTGCTTGACTGTTAAAGATTGCCACCACAGTTATATTTCGATCTATGAACGTATACGAATTAGCGATAGAAGATTTGAATATAAAGTTTTCATGTTGACTATGAATGGTACTTCGAAGACAAAGTTTAAATACACAATTATCAAATAAAATATGGTCAAGCAAAATATGGCGTCTGGGATCTACATATTACGTCTTTCATATCTTAACAAAAACACGTAAACAAAATAAAAAGAAACGTTCTAAGTTAACAAATGTAGATATGTGAACAATTTTTTGTTGAGCCAGTTTAGCTCTTTACTGAGAGAAAAATATGTAAATTTTATTTCATTTGATGAATATTCAACTATGTGTTTGTCTTTTCATTTAAAACTGTATTTAATTAATTGGATTTTGTTTATATATGAATATTATTATTATTGTTATTCTATAGAGAGATTGACAACTGATCTTTCACCTGATCGAGCTCTAGCAGCTCAGTAGTGGAAAACTTGCTAGTTACATTCAATGCCTCGAAAACCAAACGAGATATATTCCATCGTCATCGGACCCTGAATTATCACCAGTCACGATATATGGATCTTCACTCACGGAGACTAGGTGATCTATTGGGACTTAACTCAACCCAGAAATTAAGGGGAATTCGGATATACGATCCATCGTTAAAGATGGTCGGAAAATGGATGGTCCCCTGTACCGCGCTAGTATGTACCTGACTCCTCCTCCTTGACTCTGAACGAGAAGTAGATCAGGCCGAAAATGCAGCACTGTCGCTGTGAGGAACGAGAAGACTCACCTCCCGCAAAATCGAATTTGCTTGGCGTGTCAGATCCTGTTGAAAGATCGCGGCCGGCGTTAAATGAGAAATGGATTATTCCGAAATTCCTGTATCACGGGCAGACGTACAAAGAAAAAGAAAAAAAAAGACTAAGAATTCAAAACCAACTTGAATTTATAAAACCTCGGGCGAACGAGAAGTAAGTCTCGTATGCAAATTTTTAGTTGCCCCCGACGCGGGCATAAATAGCGAGTCTGTGAGGCAGACGGCAGACTGTTTGTTGGTGTGACGGCGTACGTATGTACTAACGAGAACAAGAGAAGAGGCCACTCGAAGGACTGGAAAAGAAATCAAGCACTCTAATCCATTTCAGTTATCGCAAACGACAGGCGAACTGAATTACCTAACCCCGAAAGTTCTTAACTTCACGGCTAAGAACCACCATGCCACGCCCATTGTTTCGAACCCCCCCCCAAAAAAAAAATTCGTTTCATACTCCATTTGTGAAATATAATTTCCTCTCGAGCAGCTTCTTTCCACAAAGCAGCGGTTTGTGGAAGCGGCTTCCAAGAGGTTGCTCTCCGATCACTACAATCTTAACCTGTCCAAATCTAGAGTCAACCGTTATCTTGATCACATATCTGCATAAGCTGTGCAATTGTCTCTGTATCGCTCTACCTCGGGTGGCTCCCGGGCCTTGTACAGAGCGAACACACCTAAAAAATATCTCTATATATAATCAAATTCCAATACTTACCATGTTCTCTGGCCAAATACCTGGCAATGGCCATAGTTTCTGGCATCTTGTTCTGGCCATCAATGTCCAAAACAGGGACACAGTAGCTGGGCATATCTGAAAAAAAATAAAGTGAAGAATAATAATTGAAGAAAGTCAAAAATAGTTATTTTTCATTAGTCTGACATAAGGCAACAAATTTAATCCGTAAAAAGTGTCAAAAAGACGGTTTTCCATTAACACAATTTTAGTTTAAATACCTACATCTGTCGGTAATGTTTGTTTTAAAATTCAAAGATTAGAATTGTAATAAAATCAAAACTCATAAAAGTGAATTTGTACATTTTCTTTGTTCTTGAAAAATTACAACCAAAATAATAAACACTATTTATTTATTAGATGTTCTATTGGAATGGTTGGCTAACATCTGCTAACAGCCAATGGCTTCAAACTTTATAAAATGGTATATAATAAGGTTTTCCTTAGAGTTGGTTCAGATATTTTAATAATTTAGTAAATGTTTATCAATTTATGTACACAGTAGCTGGGCATATCTGAAAAAAATGTAAAATGAAGAAAAAATAATTGAAGAAGGTCAAAACTGATTTGATGAAAGCGAATTTTTTTTCATTAGTCAGGCATAAGGCAACGGATCTACAGTTCTCAACAAAAATCATATTATTGGCGAACATGGACATCCGTACCAGCGAAAAAAGTTTCACACTCCTATGGAATGCTTATTGCTTTAAAAGTCGATGATTAAAGATGTAAGCAAACCCAAACTTTTTCTTTTTTGGATAATTTACAACCAAAATAAAAAACATTATTTACATTATTCGGACTATTGTCCAGGTTCATTTACCTGACCCCCCACTGAATCAGGTTGTGACACAAGGTCAGTTCTTAACGTGGGGACCCGAGTGTTTTCACTTGGGCCGCTGGTCTAAGCTGGTCTTAGCTGGTCATAGCTGGTCAGAGCTGGTTTAAGCTAGTCATAGCTGGCCTTAGCTGGTCATAGCTTCTCCAAGCTGGTCAGAGCTGGTTTAAGTTAGTCATAGCTGGTCTTAGCTGGTCATAGCTTGTCCAAGCTGGTCAGAGCTGGTTTAAGCTAGTCATAACTGGCCTTAGCTGGTCATAGCTTGTCCAAGCTGGTCAGAGCTGGTCTAAGGTAGTCATAGCTGGTCTTAGCTGGTCATAGCGTGTCCAAGCTGGTCCGAGCTGGTCTAACCTAGTTATCAGAGCTGGCCCAAGCTATTGGAGTAGAAGAGACGGCTACATTTAACAGTTTCAACAGTGAAAGGGTGTGAGCGAGATGCCAGCCTAGTAGAACGCTTAAATTCATGAATTCTGGGAACCAGCGAAAGCAGCTCCTCAGAGCAGTTACCGTGAAAGTATTTGTGAAAATGAC